GAACATTTAAAAAAAATTCGGTTAGCTTATTTATGCCAAGCATCTTATCAGTTAATTTATCCTTTGTAACACTAATCACTTATTAGGAGTAAACTTTCACTCAATCATAGTAAAGTATAATGTAGGAACAAAGTACTATTCAATGTAACTGAGGAATGATATTGACTATTCTATATTTCAGTCAATATTAACATTCTCCTTATTGTGTTGAATAAAGTAACTCTTTCTCTTGCTAAAGTAATTTGTTTCTCATATGACTAGATCAAAATCGATATTTTGAAAATAACCGTCTACAAAAATTACCATTAAGGTGAATTTGTAAAGTGTCATGAGTTTCAATGATATTCTTTATGAGATAAAGGTAAACAGGACCAGGGAAATTTTTTCTAAAAAAGGTTAATTAATTAATTTAAAAATAATTATAACAATACTAAATCACATCTGATGATAGACTAATGTAAAATGATGTGAGGGATAGATAGATGCATTGATTGACGACTGAGTGGTGGCCAAAGTCATATTTATCTAGCCCTTATTGTTGAACGAATTTAATCAATTAAGTTGTGGAACAGCCACTAATCTGAGTGGGACTATATCACATGCACTGTGGTTTGATGCTGCCTGGTTGAAAGTAGTTTCCAAGATACCATGAACCTATTTTTCATGCTAGTTGGCCTCATCAGTAAAGAATATCCTCTGTCAGTTGTAGCATCTCAGAGTGTGAAACTGGGTGGCTCACGTCAGGACAATACAAGGAGCATCAGTTTGCTCAATATCGAAGTAGTTACGCTTGATTGACGAGTGCTACCTAAAACGAACCTGGGACCCATGTTTTCATGCTGACTACCTTCAAAAACCTAATATGAAAACGATAGATAGTAATTTTTTGTGTCTGACTATGATAGGGTGCTAAAGAAGTTGGATAATTACCATCAAGAAATTTAACCCATTCTAGAAACTATAAACTGTGAAAAACCAAGAAACATGGGACGGCCATCTTGTTCTACTTTGAGTTTATTCACTAATGGCTCTTCTAGAACCTTAAATGTGATTAATATCAGCAATCCAATGTTTTGGAGCAAACATGACACCATATAGTCACAAACTCATCCATGAGTTTATCTCTGTTTCGACTGGATTACTAAGTCAGATCTCGATCAATAGCGTGCATGCATCAGTATTTATCATTTGGCCTTAAAGTGATATATTTAATTGACCTAGCCTATCAATAATGGTAGCTGTGAAATTAAATTATCCAACTCAGAGAGAGTAATACAGCCAAAAGTATTCATATGAGAAGAAAATTCCAATCATTACAACTACCATTAAATTAAATATTTATGTGCTGAGTCATTATATATATGTTTTGGATGAGGTGGAGATAACCAATTTATTGTTTAGTGCAAAATTACAGAGTATCTTGATAAAATATAAAAAGCATTCATTAAATGCTTCATCTGCACATCTTCCATCCGTTACCTCTTACGAACTTTATCTCTTTTTCATTCCTGTCATTATTACGACTGCACCTTGGTTACATTCCTGTTCTCTTCAATTCGATCTTCTTAATATTCTGCTGCCATGCATTCCACTTCTGATTGGTGTTACATGCTACATATATTTGTGAACATAAGTAGCATTCCCCAAATATATATTTGAAAGTAAATCAGTCACTCAGCTACAACATGGGGCCAGGCATATATATTCATTGGTTCAAGTTGCCATACCTCATTAGCACAACAAAATGAACACCGAATTCATAGAAGTAGTTAATTCAATGGTGGTAATATATATAAAAAAGATTGCATATAAGGATGTAGTAAGTGAAGAAAGAATTAGTTGGTAGATAAGAATATATAAAGCAATTGAAATTTCATAGTTTAAGGGGAGACAGAGAGTATGTACACATACGCCATTGTGATCGATTGTGAGCTATGTCACCAAGAGTCTCCAACCATTGGTTACGAAAGTCACGAGGACCCCAACCAAGTAGTCTGCATCTACCAACATGGCTCAGATTAGAAGTTAGTGACTTCAGGCACTGATACCATGTTTTGGTTTGACCTTCCCTAACTTTCTTCCAACCATCCCTAACACTAGTCGTTTGAAAACAAAATCGGTTTGAAATATAAAATTGTGTCTTGGACTTGAACTTCATTACTGTGATAAAAAAATATAGGTCTCAGAATTTCTACAGTCATCTACAGTATGGATGAAGACGTTTATTATTCTCTCAAAGTTATCTTTTCATTACACTTGGCTCAAAAATAGGACATTTATTGACTGATTTATGAAACTCAGTTGTTTTAATAAACTCTAAGTATTTGGTTGAGATCATGAATTAATTGATGTTAGACCACCGTTGGAAACCTGGAAGCACTGGACGGCCGTTTCGTCCTAGTATGGGACTCCTCAGCAGTGCGCATCCACGATCCCGCACCCCGTGGATGCGCACTGCTGAGGAGTCCCATACTAGGACGAAACGGCCGTCCAGTGCTTCCAGGTTTCCAACGGTGGTCTAACATCAATTAATTCATGATCTCAACCAAAAACTTAACAATCTCCACAACCCCCATACTGATAAACTCTAAGTATTTTACTTAAATACACGGATTCCGGTGTGATTTATATATGCTTTTGATAGGAAACAATGTAATTGGATATTAACATTTCAGACTGTTGGTAAATATCATAGAAGTTTCTTTTTGCTTTAAATAATCATTTAATTTTGTCATATAGTCTGAATAATCTTATCGAATATTGTACTGTATTGTTAAACTTAGTTACAAATAAGTTAGTCAGTTAATGGTTAGTTCACCATATATGAATTAAAATCACTATTATTTGAATAGTCTGATGATAGACGGTAACTAGATTGTAAATGTATGATAATTAGAAGTAATTGAATAATAGTACGAACTAAGAATCCCAGGAATAACGTGATTGGATCAAGAAGTACTAGATAAGCACTAACGAATATACTGTATTTGGAATTCGAAATCAAGCATTCAACAAGTACAAAGGTATCATCAGAATGGGTTTTGTGGAGAGTTTTTGGAAATTTCACAGGTTGAAATCATGAGTCAGTTGAAGCTAGACCACCATTGAAAACCTGGAAGCACTGGACGGTCGTTTCGTCCCATTGCTTTCAGTGCCTCGCGTGGTGCGGGGCTCGTGGATGCGTACTGCTGAGGAGTCCCATACCAGGACGAAACGGCCGTCCAGTGCTTCCAGGTTTTCAATGGTGGTCTAGCTTCAACTGACTCATGATTTCAACCTACAAAGGTATCATTAGTTCACTTAAACACCGCAAAATGCTACAATTACATGTTATCGATATTCATTAATATAGTTGATGAAATAAAATTAGTATTATATCTAACTATTTGAAATTAAAATTACTCTAGTTTTTCATTCATTTTGTTTCTAGGATTTTATTTCCTAAGTTGAAAATATAAGAACTAATGAATTCAGCTTACTGAGTATAAGAATTTGAAATAATTGTTTAATATTTCAATTAACTTCATCTTTTTGATAATGGAAACAAAAGAATAATTTATGAAGATACCGATGATTCTGTTTGGATATTGATAATACTACAATTGATACAAAATGAAAAGTGTTGATCATTTAGTAAACACCAATATATATATGATAATATAGTAGATGGAAGATTTAATGCATACACGAATATTGAAGATTGTTTCAGAGATTATCTACTTTTTAGTAAGTAGAAGATATCGAAAACAATTAGATTGAAAAATAGGATTATTTTGTTGAGTTGGCTTTCTGAGAACTGTAACCGAGCATCCAGAGGCCCTAAAGGAGCCGGAGAGTCTTAGCCAATCAGAGCATGATGGAGCTTTCTAGAATATCAACGTGGCGTGCTACTGTTAGTCAGTAGCATAATATGTCTTTTAGCGGGTTAGCCAAAATATGATGTTGATTTAACAAATGTTAACATCTATAAATATCCAAGTTTTTCTGTACAAAAATGAATCTTTGGCGTAAAGTGTTTTTCGCTTATTTTGCACCTTTTCTCTCGAGTTCAGGTCGCTGAGTAGTTCTAGCTTGCGGGTTATCAGAACAGCTTAGGAACCGAATAGAGCGTTCCTATTAAAAAGACTTATCATATTTAAACAAAAGTAAATATTAGATGTAGCCCTTCATCAAATACAAGATGAATTGATATTGTTCCCATTTGTTTGTCATATCCTAGGACATTGTAAAATACCAAAAGTGATCGTACAATAAAAACTATCCAGTTGCGAACACTGGACGGCCGCTTTGTCCTAGTATAGGACTCCTCAATAGTGTGCATCTACGATCCCACCCAAAGGATTCGAACCCAGGACCTATCAATCTCGAGTGCGAACACTTAAGCTCTAGACGACTGAACCGGCATCCAAAACTTATCTATCATTGAAACGAATGAGTAACTAATTAGATCACACCTACGCGTTTATCTCTAAGTGAATTAAATTTTTAGTCTCAATAATTTCAATTAATAATTATTGATTATTCAAATGATTGTGCAAATTGATCATTTAATCAATAAGTAATTTGTGTGTAAGTTGTATAGACATATTGAAGTGTTGAGAAACAGACATTCTTAATTTGCATATATACAAATGAATGTTCGTCTATTCATTCTAATTAGTATCACATTTGTACATAAGTATCGGATACATTATTAAACGACGAATAAATAGCTTTGTTAAGTCAAATTATCTAACCGAATAATAAAAGATTCTGTCTAACTCAATCAATTGATTTATATAAATCTGCTAAAATTGTCTAAATAGTTGTCCATGGAATAGATTATATGGAAAGTTATGGGATATATTAAATCTTTCTATCTTTTATGCTATTACAAACAAAGAAAGGTATCACTCGAGTAGTAGTAGTAGTAATAATAATAGAGCAAAGGAAATTACCATTCTGAAATTCATTGAACAGAATAAATACTTATCATAAGAATTATTACTGATTTTGTACACATGTCGACTGGTGGTTATCATCATGCAATAATTTTATCACCTGCTTTCTATGCAAGACAATGTTATTCAGATAATATCAGTAATGATTCATCATATTGGAAACATGAAGATGCTGCTAGACATTTATCAAATCATGTTATGAATAAATATCCTAATTTAAATGTTTTATGTTTAAATAATTCAACTTATATGAAAAATGATCTCTGGTCAGATTCAACACGAATTAATGCTTGTTTATTTTCTCAAGCTAGTCGTATTGTTTTATTTATACCGGATGATGCAACTGAACATATTACTTATTTCAGTCGACATTGTTTACATCCATTACTATGTAGATCACGTGATCAAGGTGGGCGACCAGAATGGCATTCACGTTTTATTGCTGTTGCTATAGGTAGTGTACAAGTGCCAAATCAATTAAATCCAGATGTACCATTTATAAATGTGATACGTTTTCGTGAAATAGGATGGTTTAGAGACATTATGGGAATGATGTTATTGGAAAAAGCAATTAAAGGTCAGTTAAATAAAGATTGCTTGTGTATATTTCGCTTAATTATCCTAATCCTTTGTTATTCATGTGAAACTAACTTAAGTATGATGATCTACTTATTTAATTAATTACATGTGTTACCACTCGTGAAGGAGCATAGGCCGCCACTAGCATTCTCCATCCAACCTTGTCCTGGGCAATTCTTTCCACATGTTTCCAGTTGCTATTCATCATTTTCATACATCCTTCCAATTCCCGACGCAATGCGTTCTTTGGTCTCTCACGCTTCCGTTTCTTTTCAGGATTCCAAGTTATGGCTTGCCGCCTGATGCAGTTTGGTGATCCCCGCAATGTATGTCCTATCCAACTCCAACGTCTTTTCCTAATTTCCTCTTCAGATGGTAGCTGGTTTGTTCTCTCCCACAGTAGACTGTTGCTGATGGTATCCAATCAACGGACATTGAGTATTGTACTTAAACAATTGTTTATAAATACTTGTACATTTTTGATGATGGTTGTGATAGTTCTCCAAGTTCTAGCTCCATACAGTAGAACTGTTTCGACGTTGGTCTGGAAGATTCTGACAGTTGTTTTGAGTTCCATCTGTTGTTCAGTTGTGGGAATGTTGTCCTTACTTTGCCGATCCTCGCCTTAGAGTCTGCACCGAACCCTCCTTGTTCGTCTATGATGTTGTCCAGGTACATGAAAGTTTCCATCTCTTCCAGATTTTTTTCCATCAAGTGTGATTGTAATGATGTTCTCCATACTGTATTTGACGATCTTGCTTTTTGATTTGTGTATGTTGAAGTTTATTGCTGTAGAGGCTGTTGCTACACTAGTTGTCTTCATCTTCATTTTTTCGTGTGTATGGGATAGAAGGTCTAGTTCATCTGCAAAGTCCAAGTCGTTTAACTTCATGGAAGCTGTTAATCGTATTCCGTGCTTCCTCTAAGATATGGAGGTCTTCATAATCCATTAATGACCTAGTTAACCACAAAATATTTTCAGATTAATATTTTATGTTTTACTGTTTAGTTCAAAGTATTTGGTTTATTCAAAATTTATAAATATCCAAAATAATCTTAATTGTCTTCTAGTTAATTAAATATAGAGAGTTACTTTTGTACAACTGAAATGAAAGATAACTCTTATAGTTTATATATGATTTTCATTATTATAAATAGTTTAACTGATAAGTTATACTCCGATAAACTGTATTTATTGTTGTCATTAAACGCGTATCCTACATTTTTCAACAAACTTACGAGCTTTTATTCTTTTAATCATGAAATGAATAGTTTAATGTGTACTAATGACGAGTCCTACAATTCAGTTTGAATGTCAAGTTTATTTGCAATTGTCTTTCTGAAATGCAGCTGTGTATTAAAACTTAAACCTTTAAACATTATAAACAGATACGTTACTTATTAGATTAGGACAGGTCGAACAGTTCATACTAACTAGTTTGAGTTGTAATAAATAGGTGGATATCTTAAATATCATGACTAGAAATTAGTTGCACTAATCTATATAATATTCTTTCTTTATCTTGCTTATACTCTTACCGCCTCTACCACTACGGGATTTGAATCAACAACTGCATCTCTGTGCCAATGGGGTATGGCAACTCGAACTGATTTACGTACGTACGAAGTTCTACGTTGTTACTGACTGACTGACTGACTGAGACTGTAACATTCAATAATATTGGATCATTTTTATTGAGTGATTTCATTCATTCTTTTCAAAACATATTCCTATTTTTAATTATGTTTTTTGGTATCATACACACTGTTGCTGTTTCATTATTATTTCATTTTAATCATTGCATCTCTTTCTGTTAATATTGATGTAGGTAAATCCAATACTGATTCTAATCAATGGAATGCTTGAACTGTAAATACTTATAATAATAATAATAATAATAATCAGGCCAATAATTTTTATAAAACTCATATTCACATTACACTAATATCAATATTGACAATAATGAATAATCCTTAATACAATTACAATTTCACGTGATACACTCACTTTTGTGAAGAGTTAAATCTAATCGAAGGTGAATTTAATCAATACAGTCAGGATTTATTGATGTTTTAATTAGGACATCAATTATAATTATAGTATGAAGAGTACTACTAGTGTGATAGTAGTAGTAGTAGTGGTAGTAGTAGTAATAGTAGTGGTAGTAGTAGTAGTAGTAGTAGTAGTAGTAGTAGTAGTAGTAGTAGTAGTAGTAGTAGTAGTAGTAGTAGTAGTAGTCAACGAATACTTGGTGGGGAAAAACCAACTTATTGTTTTACATGAAATCAAACAGTAGCATTGTAAAACATGAAAATTATATATTGAATACATTATTTGCATATCTTCCTTCAGTTGTCTATTACATACTTCTTCGTTCTTCCGGTCCTGTTGTTGTTTGTTATTCTTTGCTTTCCTCCCTCTTCTCATTATTTCACTTTTCTACTAGTAGTCATTCTAGTTTTAATTCTTGCTACATACTACTTATATCTGTCCGCAAATGTAAATACACAGCACAGTAGTAGTGTGAGTTATATCCAAATATCTAAATAACATATTTTCAAATACCAATAGAACATAATGGTATAAATAATCATCGTTTATTTTACAAATGGTTGACTAAATTGATCTACATGATTTGATCAATTGAAATGACTAGATATAAAACAAAACACTGGGTACTGTTCACTTATAGATCAGTATATAAACTAATCCGTAGTACTAATGATAATATCTCTGATTTTACTTCATTTATATGAGATAGCTTAAGTTTCAACAAAAATTCGTCATCATCCTAGGAATGTCAATCAGCACAACACTTAATTAAAGTAAAGCATCCTGCTGTGTTGTATCCAATCATTCATTATCAAATAGACAAATTTATAAAATAGTAACTAATTGAAAAAAAAATATCAAAGTACATTTAATCCAATCATTTGGAATGGTTCTTTATGATGATAAAAATTTCAGATACATTGTTAGATTTAAATTATTCCTCAACCGAAGATCGATAAATTTGAGTTATACAAGAGATATGATAACTTCATCATTTGTGAAGAAAACAGCTAATTTAATGATGTACTACAAATCAATTACGTTCACACTGGCATTAGTCTTAAACTCAAAATTTAGTGTATCTGATGCCTTGCCGAAACAAAGATCGAATGCCCCTC